CGTCAAAACTACAGCTAACAATTTTGGTTTGCAAAGAAGGCAGTCATTCCTTATCCTACCTTCATTGTCCAGTACATATATATGGTCACAAAAAAGGCAGCTAACATCTTACTCCTTTTACCATTTGTCAGTGCTAGTGTAGAATGTTAATTGCTAAGCTGCCACATAAAAGGTTCTTCCCCCTGGCTGTCAGTCAGACCAAGTCTTCAAATATCATACTTATATCCACCAATCACACGTCTTCCTGTTAACCATATCCAAGTCCTCTTTTTTTTTTTTTGTGTGTGAAAAATTTTGGAGAAAAAAAAATATGTTTAGGAAAATATTTTTGCATGGAAGTTAGCTGCTATAATTTGGCTGTATAATCATCATTATTTAAGGCCAGAACACACCTAATCAGATTTTGCGTCCTATCTGACAGAAAATTGTGTCGGACGAGGTTGTGGCTTTTTAGCGCTCATTGAAAGACAATGGGGAAGATCACATCCGACACAATTTTATGCAAGGGGGCTTGTGTAGCTCCGTCTGTGATAGATCCCAGGTTTATTTTAGTGGGACTACGCAGCAATTCAGCAGCAATTTCATTTGTCCGACAGGAAGAGAAACATGGTTAAAAACTGAAACACATTCGCCTTGGGGGAAAATACAAAATTCTGTTAATCGTACAGAAAAAGGGTCAGTTTTCGAGTCGCAAATCACATATATAGTAAGCGGGACAGATATGTGCAAAAACAAAAAAATAGGAATTGCAAAAATTTAAATAGAATACTTGACCCATGATAGGAATTCATGAGGACAGAAAACGGATCAAGTAGTGAGCTTCTTTGAGCTTGCAAAAACGAAGGGCAGAAAGCGCAGTTTATCAATCTCTCTCCAAAAAACAGATAGTAAAATAGCTATCCTCTTTGAGCCTCACAAAAAAAAAAAAAAATAACGAGGAGCAGACGGAGCAGTAAAGGGTGGTGGATCTCTATCACTTCTATGAAAAAAAATAAATCAAGAAAAACTTCAATAAACTTCCCAGATCTTTCTCTGTGAATCACCTCTAACTGACTCTGTCAGCATATAAACCATCCATGGGGTTTATTGAGGTTTTTATTTTCTTTAGACGTAAATATAATTATGTTTTTAATATAGGCATATGACCATTCTCTATCTGATCTTGTTCGAGATGCTGCATAGAATCGTTAAGTGGGGCTTTTCTTTATTGAATTGTTTTTGAATCTTTAAAAATAGAATAAAGAATCTTCTCATAATCTCTCCATGTCTAATGTGGGAATTTTTTTCATTTGTTTATAGTACAGAGACAGAAGTGAAAAAAATCTGCCCACCCTTTCTAGTAGGAGCCTCTTTTTACGCAGTCAGTGTGACATAAAAATGGGATCAGAGATTAAAGTCGAACGCAACCGGTGTGTTCAGGCCTTTTTAACTTATGTAACTGTTTTGAAATTTTTTAAACAGTTTAGAGCTCTGTTTTTCTTGAGGGAAAAAAACCTCAAAACATTTGAGATTTTAATTTGCCTTGATCATTAAACTTGTTGTAATTACCCATTAAACTTGTCGTAATTACCCATGATTCTTCATGTTTCCTTTGCTTGGTGGCAAATTGCAGCTGATTGATGTCAATGATGGCTTCCTATCTCTGATGCTTCTCTCTGGAGAGATTAAGGACCTCAAAATTCCAGATGGGGACTTGGGCAGAGAAATGGTAAAAAAATTCCATGAAGGAGAAGAGATAATGGTAAGTTTTCTAGTTCTATGCATAATTGTCTTCCTGGTGAGGACTGATATGGAATAAGTGCTTAGTTAGCTACCTTTCTTGAAAGGCTGCAATTTACAAATGTTCCAGTTTACCAGATTGTTTTAAAAACAATCTTTGTATACATAATTTGAATTATTATGGATTATTATTATGTATTAAAGGTCCTTTAATAATCTGTATTCTGAGTGGTTGTCAAAGGACCAGAAAAAGAGAATTCTGCCAGATCCGAAACCTGCTGAAAAAACGAAATAAGTCCAGATTATAGGTGAAGTCATTCCTTACTTTAACTACCTAACATTTTGCATTAGCCTGGCTAGCTAGACTGACGTATGTTGTATACATAGCATGTTGGTCTGAAAAGCAGCAGGTAGGGGGGACTAACAGTCAATGGAAACAGGTAAGAACCAATCATATAATTATGGATGTAATGCAAAAACCTATTTCTTGAAATCATTCTGGGCATACAAAAGAGCATAATTAAAACTTGGGCGGAAACAATAAATCAGATTAATCGATTATTGAAATGGTCATCAGCTAGTTTAGTAATCGATTAATTGTTAACTGGAGAATAGAGACTCTAAAACATGCTTGTTTACCTGACAGAGCAACCCACTTATGAGGAGTAATTATACCAAAACTGTTACAAAATTATATAAATATTTTGCATTTAGGATAAAAAAAAAAAATGTTTTTGTCTATAAATATGCTATATCCATAAGGGGAAAATTTTAGTTTCACCTGGTGTAATTTGCTCAAAAACTTCTTTAAGGAACCTATGTCTGTCTGATTATTAATCGAGAAAATAATCCACAGGTTAATCAATTAGCAAATTAATTGTTAGTTGCAGCCATAATTAAAAAAATGCTCAATTGCAGCTGCAAAGCTAATTGATATGGTAACTGAAAAGTGTTGCGTTATGGGCATGCCTTTCGCACTGATTGGTCTGGTCTGTTTTAGACCAGAGGGCAAACCTTACCAGGCTGACTTAACTCAGTCTGCATACAAGTTGCTCACATAATGAAGAAAATCCTGATGTTAGATATTAGCTCATTAACAGTTGGTATTTACCTGCTTATTTTGTTTCAGACATCATTTGCGTAGAGATTACTTACCAAGTAAACCTTCTTGCTGCAAGGCAGATGTGCTACCCACTGAACCACTGAGCAGTGACCTTAATTTTATGTTAAAGTGAATCTTCCCTTATGAAGAAACAAAACCTGCAGTATAACTATAAGTATATAAGCAACTGCAACTATTGTATTTCACAATATAATGTGGTATTTTAAGACATGGAAATATTGCACAGTGTTTCCATGGGTCATTAAAAATCATTAAAAGTCATTAAATTGTTATTTTTTTAAATTAAGGCCTTAATT